TACATGAATTCATATTACAGTCAATAAATTTGCATAAAATAAACTTATTTGCATTTTTTGTATCGTTATGTGAAATCGTTCTATTAAGCACATAGTACTAACTAGTCCAGAACTGGACCCTCTTTTCTCAATTACTATAGAAGTAAAAGTTAAAAATCCAAAGCGCGCACTCAAGAAGATTGATAAATAAATATTTTATCTTGACAGTTGAGAACATTGATTCAAATAGTTTTCAAATCCGTGTGCGCAAGGATAAAAGAGGGTCCAGTTCTGGGCTAAGTGCTAACTTGTATAAATATTGCAGTAAATGTAAGTAAACAAGTTACAACTCATCTCGCAATTGAGATTCATCCTGTGGTGCATCCCTATTTTCATTTTCGTTTTCATCGTARGATTCAGACACTGTCCTTTCAGCATTTGCCTCACTCCATCTAATGTATGGCTCTAGAGCTGAGTTAAGGTTTTCTTTTAGCTCTTTTGGTGTTATTTCTCCATCAGCATTTGCATCGATTTTATCAAACAGCTGTTAAGATAGAAACATACAATCTTATAATAGCTGGCATTTTGGTTCCATGCACAAAATATTGCTCCAGGGAAATAAAAAATACAATATTGGATTATCCATTGTTTTCCCAGTAGAGCCTCCTCAACGAAAATATTTACAGTCGACTATTCTGAAAATGGTTTAAAGAAGGTCTGTCAACTCTCCAGGATAAAGAGTCTCATGATATTTCCTCACCTCAGAAGCAAACTTTTCAGTTCCTGCAGTTTCCTGCAAAATTAAGCAATAGCTAGTAAATAAAAACAACATTTTAACACATCAGTTGATAATAACTTAAATACAGTTCAATTGATTTACCTTGATGTAAGCATCAATAAATCGTTTTCGAATTATTGGTTCTTTTCTCTCTTTAAAATCTTCAAAGATATACCTTGAAGACAAAATTAATTATGTAGTACTACAAACTARTATGTGCTTCATAAAATGTTATGTGAAAAAGATAAACTTCATGAGACTGCCTTTATCCACATCTACAGGCTTCTTCTGCTAGCTTAGTGCAAGTAAAACTAGTACCAAGGCAATAGAGCACTGTCTTTGGAATAAGTTCAAGTAAGTACCTTATGTYATCAAGAGAAACATAACCATATTCATGGTCTTCTGTGTTGGTCAAGTCAGTTCCTTCAGTTGYCAAGAGAAAAGATCTCAATTGATCCCTTGTTATRTTTTTAATCTGTTCAAGTGTGATTATGCCACTATCATCAGCAAAGTAATCAAACCACTGTTMAAGAAATAATATGKCTTTATCAATTCATAATTCACAAGTGCAAAAAAGTCATCTCTGTACAAGCATACCTTCTGAATATTTTCTCTTAGTCCATGGACATAATACATTTTATTGTCCTAAAGTATAGAACAATGAAAGAAATTTCTTCTGATATGCACTGATAATAATGTCTTACAGTAATAAACAATGTTTTCTAACCTTTTCATACTGAGACATTTTTTGTTTACCAATTTTCATAGCTTCTTCTCTTGTGAGGGCTTTTTTGTCTCCAAAGAGGTACAGCATTGATTGCCTTGAAATTCAAAAATTGTGTCATCATGATGTTATACCGTACATATTTCGAGAAAACCTTTTCATGCTTGTTTTGTTATAATTTATTCCTTTTTTYCCCTGGTATAATGATTTTAAGATTTGAATATTATCGTTCATCTACTTATTACTCCTTTCCACCTATGATGTCATGTTTGCATTGTTGAAGTGCATAATTAAGTAAATGTATGTGGGAGATGCCTTAGCCTTCCTCACAAACAAAAAATTACCCCATTTTGCTCTATTGGAATCCMTATGGTTTCCCCTTGGTGAACTGGGGGCCATGGAAAACAGGAAGCCCAAAAGTAGAAAGAAGAACTGAAAGGRAGAGGGATGCCTAGGGCGAAGACTTCAGATATCACTAGTATTACATGTATGCACCTAATGATATTTCTCTAACAACACCAGTCCTTATATTACCTAACAGATCCAGTATCAGTATTCCCCATAGACAAGTTCCCATGTCCTGAATATTTCCAATCCAAATCCATCTCACTAAGGGGGGTGGGGTGGAGTGGTTTGTCACAATCGCTGAAGTCCAAGTTATCAATCAGTTCAAAGCGAGAGAAAAGCAAAGCAACAGCTAAATTATTTGTTCCTGATGATGAAACTTGATGATAGTAACCTGGAAATCAGAACATTCAGGTTTTATCAATAAAAAAAAAATTATAAGTTATTATATAAATAAATAAGTTACATAATGAGAAATAAACTTACTTTTTGGAAGAAAAAGACAGTCCCCTGCATTAATCTTGAGTAAAGACCACTTAACCTCAGACACCAAAGGATGCTTAATCAGGTTAACTTTATTTACTTTGAGCTTGGAAAAACCTCCAATCATTTGTGGTGGTTCCCAGGCCTTATAAATCTTATCTTCATACTTGTATTCAATCATTTTCCATTGTTTTGTGCCATTGATTAAACAATTTATGGCATTGAAAGCATCTTTATGTAAAAGACTGTCTGTCCCACCACCACTCATCCATAGATCAACTTCAACAAAAGAGTCTTTAAACGAGCCGCACGTCAAAGGTGGGGGCACACTGAAGTCTTTAAACATCGGTATTGGCATCTCCGACACTACATATGTGTCTGAATGATTAGAATGGTAGTTTTCTATAAAATGTCCTGAAAAATAAATATGTTATGGATGTTAATATCAATTGTTATTTTATTTTGTATATTGTGTTTTTCTCTAAGAAAATGTTAGCAAGGTCTTTATATTTGTAATTAATTTAAATGCAAATTTCATCTTGTATTGATCATTATGCAAATTAATCGACGAAAGAAAACTTTGATAACAAGGTTTATAGTCGTATTTTCTCAGCTTGAAACAATTTTAATTGTTAATTAAAATAGGAAAATTTAATTAAAAAACTTATCAAGACCCTTTAAAAAACATTCTCAATATATTTGAGAGTTAGATCTTACTTAAAGTTCCTCTTCCAACTCCTTTGTCTCCGACAGGCAGTAGCCCACTCTTTTCTTTCTTTCCTTCCAGCCTCAGCTCAAGGTCTCCATAATTTTTCACCAAATATTCGTCTGTCCACGCCGTAAAACCTTTGGAACTCTTCGCTCCCCCTCGCACGACTAATGCTCTCGATGGTTTAACATATTTCTCCCAAAATTCTCTGGGATTAGGCCATTCGTCGACATAGTCGATGAGATCGGTTTCTGGAGGACGATGCGAACCTAGAGGCTTTAAATGGCCAACCGGAACTTCAGATGGCTTCGAAATCGAAATGAAGTTTAAAAAGACGACTAAACAATACAGGAAGGCCATATTTTTTTAGTAAATATGCCTTAACTTAAATAAACAATGCTCCAAGGAATGCAAAATTGAAAATATTCAAAGAATAAACATGAGCTCCACTCAAAGAAGTTCCACTTGAATAAACGTGTTGCTCAGGAGCTGTCAAATATATTTCGCTTCCAGACCCACATTTTTGTAAACAACACAGGAAGCCCAAAACCATTTTCGAAAGATTTTAATAAAAAGATTTTAACATGATCCAAATTTTACATTTACAAAATTATGTATTTGTCCCAATTTTTTGGCTTCTGAGCTTTCAATCTATATGATTTGACATCAAAAATCATGAATTTTTTTCAATTTCTTGAAGAAATGTTGCCCATGTTTTTGAGTTTGGTGAAGCAGAAGAAACCTCTCCCTGTGGAACACAACTTCCTCCTGCAACTACCTCTGGAACAATGTACATATCCCATCCATGCCTATAAAAAAAACAAAAACATAGAGCAATACAATGACATGAATGGTATTGATGATGGTAATAATGATGATATTGATGATGATGATGATAATGACATTACTTTACCTAATATGCAGAAGTGAGTCCAATCCATTCTCAGCTTGTGTATAATATCGATAAAACTCTCTCATAGGATCACTAGAGTCTGATGCAACAGCTAAGGACATGAACAGAAGTGTTATAATATCAGTACAGAAGATGTACTCAAACAGTTACTATGAACACTGAATAATCCAGTTTCAAATTCTCCAATGCTCTGTGTTAGCCTCATTTGTGCGCAAAATATTCCTAATTGCGAGAATAAAAGTGTGAGATTTCAAATCAATTCTATTGTCTTTCTTGTCAAATTCCATGCGTTTTCTCGTGCTATCATTAAAACAAAAGAATTTGTTTCTTGGTTTTGAGGCTAACACAGAGCAAACGAGAACTCGAAATTGGAGTATTAAGTGAACATCATAGCTATAGAACAGCACAGTTGTAGAAATACCCAACCAAATATGCTTTACAAGACAGTAGACAATTTAAACTAAGGTTAAATGGTCCCTGCCTTCCCATCAAGAAGATTYTGGGTCAACTAGAGAGTGATTTTATGAAGACAAACCTTCTGCTAGTTGCTTAGCTAGTTTCTTTTCTCTCCTTTCTCTTTCTTTTTCCTCTTCTTCTTCTGCAATCATTACAACCAATGTTTTTTCTTCTGAATCATAAATCTCATGATGCCTTTTCATTAGTTTTTCCAAGAAATCAAGTCTTTCTTCAAATTCTTTACTTTGTTCAGGTGTGGGTTTTTGATAAACTCCTGTAATGTAAGAACATAATTATAAATTACATATAAGTCATAAATGATCTTTTATACATGAGAATAGATGAAACCAGTTTAAAAAAATGCTACACATTATCTAAATGTACTGAATATAACCACCTTTGACTTCAGCTTCCTGCTTTCTAAAACTTCGCAATTTTCTAACAGCTTGAAGTAAACTAAGAGCTTTGCTTGAATCACTCTGTTTTCGTCTAACATCACCCAGAACTCCTCCTGCCTCTTTTTTGACTTTAGCATCCTTAAAAGAAACCAATTAACAAAAACTTTTACAAAACTGTAACAGAAATTTCTGTAAAAAGTTTTTCATACCTTAAACTTTGCTTGGGCTTTTGCTATTTCTTTCTCTCGCCATTGATCAATTTTAAGGTGAAGTTCAAACTTTTTGGACTCATTTTCCTTTTTTCTGAGAGCTAAGGTTTTCCTTCTTCTCTTTTGCCATTCCTAAAACAATTTTCATGCACTTGCATTAGTATCAATCTATCATTTCTATTGAATATAGACTACAAGTTATGTCATTATATACCCTCTTTCTTTGTTTCTTTTTGATATCCTTTAACAAACTATCCATGTCAAACTGTGATGAAAATTCTGCTTCAACTTGATCAAGTTCTTCCTGAATACACATCAAAACCACATATTTGATCAAAACTATTTTTTAGAGTTGTTATCTTAATAACATTAATAATATTTCCTCATTCAAAACTCATGTCAAACCAATTTTACCTTGAGTAAATTTGTTTTTTGTAATTCTCTTTGCCATTCGGAATCACCTGATTTCATACACTCAGTCAATTTGTTGTGCTGTGCTTCAACTTTATTAAGAACTTGAAACCAWTTTTGGAGCATTTCTTTGGCTTCACCAACCTACATTTTATAGTTTAGATAAAAAAAACATAACTTCATTAATCTTGTGAACATTAAGTCTTCTCCTGTTGCACACATTCATATTAGCCATACTGCTAAACTGAGTAAAGACTTGTGGTCATGACAAGACACAGACCAAGTTCAATGCTATGCCCTAAACAGCCATTTTTGTTGATCTTTAATGTTTTTTTATATTACCTTAGGTTTTCCATTTTCCTTTTTAACAGGTTTCAGTTGTCTTTCTTCAATAAACTTGTTAACCAAAGCTTGATCTAGTATTCTTGTTTCACTGTCTTCATTTTGAGCCAGTCTTTTTCCTTCCTGAGAAAATGTCTGTTGGTTGTTCATTTGATGAAGATGCATTGGGACAGGTATAAATCCTTGATTGTTCAGCATAGRTGGTGGGAAATGGGTCAGTCCTATAGTATTATGTTGAGAATTGTCTATATTTATAGGAGAGGGGTTATTTCCTGCCATAAGTCTATTATCAGGGGTAGGTAAGCCACCATATTGGCCTGGTACTGGAGGAGGAGGGATGTTATTTGGTATTCTGTTATCATTATATCCAGGGGGAGGGATATTCATGCTATTAAATCCAGGTGGAGGTAAACTTATCGGAAGTCCATTCATAAATTCTAATGGTAAATTTTGTAATGCATTCTGTTGAGACATATTTGGTGGTCCCATATTTTGATGGGTTGTGTTTGGTGGTCCCATATTTTGTTGGACCATGTTTGGTAATCTCACACTATGTTGGGTTATATTTGGTGTTCCCATATTTTGTTGGGCCATGTGTGGCAGTGTCATACTATGTTGTGTTATATTTGGTAGTCCCATGTTTGGTGGGTCCATATTCTGTCGGGACATGGATTGATTTCCCATATTTGGTATTGGCACATTGTTTCCTAGTCCTGAAAATGTTGACATTGAGTACTGTGATCCATCAGGTGTCATATGACTAGCAGAAGACACAGAATAACTATTTCTTTTGTTTGAATCCCTTGAAAATGATGTTGATGAATGTGGTGAGGGCCCATGGCCTATCATTCTATCTGAGGAAGACGTATTTTGAGACATGTTCCTAGTGGTAAAATCTCTTAGATTCTCTCCTTTTACATGTTGCTCTTCCACGTCCCTTCTTTGTGAAAACGTTCTCATATTAACATCTGGATTTTCATAGCCTCTTGCAGCATTATACCTGAGATAATCTGGTGTTTTTGAATGTCCAGTTCTAGTCTCACGCTGCCACATACTTGTCAAGCGTTCGAAGGTAAAATTTGGTACAAATTTATGCTTGTTCAGCCTCTTCTTTGGAAACGTTATTCCAGGTTAAATACCATTCAAGCCAAAGCGTGGAAAACCCACTGAAAGTGAAATTTGGTATGAAAATATACGAATTTCATCATTGCAGAAACAAACATACCTCTGTCGGCCATTTTGTTTACATAAACTGGCCAGGATACTCAGCTGAGGCTTGGTCACTATAAGTTCAGGGGGAGGGGGTTGGGAGATTCTTCTGTCCACTCTGGGCCGATGGGAACTGGAAATCATAAACACAACGAACATGGCGGAAGGAGGCGGCGATTTTGACGAAGGCAAAAAACTTTTTGATCTACTTAACAAAATGTTTGTTGAAGACCCCGAAATGTAAGTTGTCTTTATAAATAGTTAAGTTGCCTATTGTCATTAGTAGAGCTTAATTCCTGAATCGCAAGTCACATAATTCCACATTGATTGAACGACATCAATATTTCATGTAAATATTTCTGTTCTGTTTCTAAACAGCTTTCATTTGAATTATCTGCAACCTATTTGGACTAAAAGCTTTAATATGCCATTACTTATAGTGCTATATTAACCTCTTGAGTGGCAACGGAAGGGTTTTAGAGTGACTTTGTACAGACAACGAAATGAATCTCATAATCTTTAGTTCCTTTTGAATTATATKGGATCGTGACGTGTCCTGTGTTGTAATTGTTATCACAATCGATAAAAGTATATACAATAAAATTTTGACATATAAACCAAATAACTTTTTCCACCATAACACACATTTGCTGTTGTTTTTCAGAGAAGAAATGGATTTTATTTTCTGCCCGGACTGTGTGAAGAATCAAGAAAATGATCAAATAGCGATGGTCAATGAGAAACATAGACTAGGAATTAAAACTTGGGCAGTTAAGCCGTTGTATATGTTTGTTTATAACCTTCTTATACATCAAAGAAAGCATAAGAATATTGAAGGTTGGTTTCATCAATTTATGTAGTCATCTGATTATAATCATTAAGACAAAACATTTCATATTATGTTTAATGTTGTTGTAGTTACAGAAACACTACAACTTTCAAGAGCATTATTGCTATTGAATGCTGAATGTTATACAGCTTGGAATATAAGGTGAAGCTAAAATTTCTACTTTTGCCTTAATTGATTGATTGATTGATTGATTGATTGACTAGCTAAGCAATTAATGGGTTGATTGAATTATTGACAGATAGACCTGTTTATTGACTGACTGATTAATTCATTGACTAGGTGACTGTCCATTTACAAGCTGAGCACATCACATGATGCTTAAGTTGAATGATTTGATGGACTGATTCTTGCTTTTCATCTTCACAGGAAAGACTTAATCATTTCAGGACTTTTGAGTGTTGATGACGATCTGAGTTTCTCTTCTTTAATATTATCTAAATACCCTAGAAGTGCCGAGACATTTAGTCATAGGTAAGAGTCACAAACTTATTCTAGTAGTATGCCATGAATCAATCATCATCACCATCATTATCATTCCTACGATACACACCTACAAATATACTCATATACATGACCAAACTTTGCTTAATTAATATCCAGAAAGTGGACTGTCAATCAATATACCAGCCAAAAAGGAAAGTCTGCATTTAGACAACAATGGCTGAAAAAAGAACTGTCCRTGTGTCTCTATTGTGTTGATCATTACCCTGACAACTATSTTGCTTGGACACATCGTGGTTGGATAATAGAAGAATTTATTGATTCAAAGAAGGTACTGTTCACATACTATTTTATGCTACCCAAGATATAGTTGCTAGGAAAGTTGTGTAATCTTATGGTTAATTGTTTTTACTGATTTATCTACAGAAATTAATTGCAGAGCTGTGTAGCATGGAAAAATGGRTTCAGATGCACGTATCTGATCATTGTGGGTACCATTTCAGACAAAAAATAATTAAAAAACTCAAAAATATCAGGTAAATGTTTAATTTTCTTATGATCACATGCAATCCATTTCTGCATTCAAACCAACTGGAGCATTCCAGTTTTAAGTTATATGGTGGAATATAGCATACAAATAGTATTTTACATATTGGCATCTTTGTGACATGACTAAAATCAAACAGATTTTTGGAGCTTCAGCYACTTTWAGGATGGCTTGGTCAAGCTTATTTTKGAATTAAAATAAAAGGATTTCAACATATTGCAATGACAATTTAWAATATAAAAACATGACAGGTGCAATAGAATCATTCCAAAAACCACAAGGCTATGTCAAAACAAAACTGCAACACATTATACAACAAAATTGAATCAAAACTCAAAACCACATTTACCACAAGCTYTYGCATTCTAAAATAATAATTAGTTTTCAATGGTAAAACACTAATATTGAGTTATTGTTAAGAGCTTTATATTACCCTCTTACATAAAGTGAAAATAGGGCAATAATTTACAAATTCAAATTTACTTAMATAAATGTCAAATGAGTGGTTTGAAACCTTGATTTCTTTATTTTTGCAGTTCTACGGATGAGTTGGCTGTGCTTCTGCTAGACGAATTAGACTTTGTTACTAAGTTACAAGAATCACTTCCTGGTCATGAGTCTATTTGGTGTCATAGGTAGGTATGGAATGCCAGAACAGAATGCCTTGTTGGTCTTTTCACTTTGTAGTAATTTCAGATATTTCTCGAAAATGTCTGTTGACCATGTATGAAAGTTCCTTGTCCAATTTTCTAAATGATGAAATAGTTTCGAATGATATTTCTTTATTTTCATCATAAATTCTCATTAACTTTACAGACGCTTCGTTGTCGATTTTCTAAATAGTTGGATACTTTCACTTCCCCATTCAAGTATTCAAGAGCTWAATACGCACTTCTCGTTGAACACCACTTCGAGTCCAAACTCAACSACTCAACATTGCTGGATGCCATGTGTAATGAGTTTGAGCTCTCTCTGCCAGACAGCGCTAGTCAAGCTAAGGTCGTCCTATGGTAGTAACAAGATGCAAGCAAGTAGTTTGCCGACGAGATTTCCATCMTATCAGTCAGAATTAGACTACTGTACCAACATTCTACGGAAATCTAAAGAATTTCAAAATATCGTGATTGGATATAAGAAATGGTTGCAATTACGAAATGGAAGGACGACAGATCCTTTAAGCTGAAGRCTGGCAGCCTTTTTGGCGCGAAAATCTCTATCGCGCACGTGTCTGAAAATCGCTTCAATAATTTTGGCGCGAAAACTGACGACGCGCACAGAGCGAGGCGCCACAAAAATTTCCACTTTTGGCGCGCAAAACTCACAATATTCGGGCGTCAAAATAATTTGGGTGCGTCGAAGCGCAAAAGTTTTGAAATATTTAAAAATACATAGAAATTTAGACTTTTTTCAAGGTAATAGTAATAGTAAAATTGCTGGAATCAAATTATTACCAGCCAAAAATTCAGCGACTTGCGCGCTTTAGTCGGCCTGAAAATATTTTCAAAGCAACCTTGGAGTAACTGCTTATCAACTGCTGAAAGTCCCTTCTGGGAGCACGCAAAATATCGAAAAATTGTCCAGTATTCTTGATAATAAGAATTTGATTAGGATTATAAATTATTTTAATGATATAAAGTATTTATATAGAAATTTATAGAATGAATACAATAAACAAATTTCTCAATAAAACGCATTATTGCTCTGTAAATAAACTTTACAATTTCTTAAGGCGCACATGCAGACGAAGCAAGATCTAGATGATGTCTTGTCTATAGTGCTGACCAACTCATTCCAGTTGTATTCGGAATTGTGAATTATCTTACACAATTATACTAGTGGCCAATAGTGCTTAGCGCGAGCCTAAAAATACTTCACCAGAATCTTAAAGCGCTTACATTTCAGTTTATTATATGTATAAGACATAAACCAATTAATTCCCCAGTCAAAAGTTTACAAATTCATCTCATTAAAATTTAGTCTCCCTTTTTTGACCATGTCGTATCATAAAATACCACCTAAATATGCAGAAACTCATTGACACGCATGAGGRTTGTCATCTGATCTAAACAGCAGTCGTACTTTGATACAATATATAATATTATAAAATCAGTAAATACTAGCGATGATTAATAAACTATTAATGTGATTATAAATCCAAGGATGTTAAAAAATACATGTAGGAGTAGTAGTGACGTATTATTTTACATGTTTCCAACATTATGTCTCTTTTGCGCGCTATTAAAGGATGAAAAATTACATGTAGCTGACTGAAAAAGAATTTTTTTAGAAATGCTAAAAAAGGCTGCATGGTGTGTCAAAAATAGTTTCATAAGCAAGCCCATGACGTCCCTTTGCGCTTTTCTATAAAAGGACGATTTCTTTTATGTTTCTTTATATTTTGGTATTTTCTTCGGCATCATTGTCATGACCTTTCTCGTCTAATGGTATTTCTCCATTGGTTGCGACAACTCCCTCGGACTCGGARATCTCTTCAGGTGTGACGTACTTATAGAAGTACGACATGATGCCAAAGACAATCATGATGACACCCATTAATCCTCCGTACAAGAACATCTCACGATCCTGTGAAATACATAATATAAGTGGATACAATCTTAATGTTTTTCTGCGCGCCTATTTTTACGTTGTCAACGCGCGTTACAAGTCTCTGTGGTCCGGCCCAAAATCTTGAGACTCCCGGATTATTCGCAAGAGTTAGCCTGCGTTACATCCGGAATATTCTTCGGTATATCCCGGTATTTGTGAAATTTCCGGGATGTAACGCAGGCTAGCAAGAGTTGACAGCCTGCAACGTTGGATCGCCAAACGCTTTAATCGTGTCTTTTTAAAGGAGAGCAATGAACGGAAGTAAATACTTACCACACCGCTGACAGGTTTAGCAGACGACAAAATGACGACAATCAAGTCACCAAATGCAACAGTCAGCAGCCAAAAGGACTGAAGCACGGATTTCATGGAAGATGGAGCCTGGYGAGRCAAAGATAATKAAAAACATCAATAACATATTCGGGTCTCGGTGATTTCAAATGTTTCGCGCAACCTGTATACCAAACGTCTATCATGCAGTGTTCATCGACGCCATTTTGTTTAACAAAGCATTTTGGGAGTTGTAGTCCTGGGTCCGGGTTGTTTAAAGATCGATTAATCAACTCTTTAAAAAACTAAAGGAGTTAACCCTGGRTTAACGCTAATCGGGCTTTGTTTTCACAATCCTACTGACCTGAGAGTAAGCAAAGCCAAGTCCAGTAACTGAGAACATGACTTCTGCAGCAGTCAGTACGACGTATTGAGGAATCTGAAGCAGACGAGACACGGACGTTCCTGGTGCGTCTTCGTGGATATGAACGTCGAACTATAAAAATACAAAAATTTATTGATTTATAGATAATGTTTTCTTCCGTTCAGCCCGCCTCCTATTTAACCCCTCTCTTTCCCGGCATTCATCCATTTATCCCAGAATAGCCGACTTGCGAATTACGCATCAATAGTCACATACAAAGGAATCAAGACGAGGCGCCGTGCTTTTTTGTGAAAAATCTATTGTCTTTAGCACGGCGCCTCGTCTTGATTCCTTTGTATGTGACTATTGATGCGTAATTCGCAAGTCGGCTATT